TCTAGTTTCGCGTTGAGAACCTAAGATTCTCTCTTACGATGAGAGACACGGTGTGTCATTTTATTTTCGCGATCAAATTCAGAGCTTCTAGCTGTGTGTTCCAGTAATTTAACCTAAATTTGCTTAACGAAGCAAAATTAGCGCGCTCACGACGTTCCGACTCGAACGAGGAGGGAAATTCGCGCGAGAGCGATACGATATATAATCAAAGAGAACGTATGCGACATATATTTTGGCGGATTATCGACTTTTGACGTGTATTGCTTGCTGACGGACGAGCGTCACGAAGCAACGTCCCCGCGCTCATCTGAGATCCGATCGAATCGATCAGTCCGGTCACGATCGGCGTAACGAGTTAGCCAACTCTTGTTTTTAGCACTTGCCGCTTTTATCTAGCCGCGCGGCAGGGGAAGAATCTTGCAGCCTCTGCACTTCTCTTGCAGTCTATTCGGATCAACTAGTTCTTTCTCTCCTCTCTCTCTCTCTCTCTCTCTCTTTCTTTCTCTCTCTCTCTCTCTCTCTCTTTCTCTCTCTCTCTCTCTCTCTTCTTTTCCGTAGGGAGTTCTCCCGGGGGTTCGTACACGACCCGCATACCAGACGTCGTCTTTTCGAGGCACCCTTTACCGGGTACCGCGCGTCGCTGGTCAGAGGATTCTCCGGGCCTCCTACTCAAAAGTAGGTGGGCTGGGTGGGAAAGGTTGGTTGCAATCAAGCGCGGACTTTGAGCGCCCCCCCCCCCCGTCCCGTTTTCTCACGGTTCGCATTATCTTCTCAGACTCCCGGTTGCGGTTCGAATTCCACCCCCTTGCTCTTCCTACTCTGCCCTCTCTTTACGCTGGAGAAATTGGAGGTTGAGGGATAACGACGAAGACGAGAGGAACGTCTCTCTTCTGTCTTTCTCCTATCTTTCTCTCTTTCTTTATTTCTCTGCAGTTCTTTTCTCTGTACCTTCTCGTTTCTTTGCAAAATCGCCATCGTTCGCCATCGTAAAATAGGAGTTAAGCCCGCAGCGGGCTGCGCCTTTGCGATCATTCCTAGTTAGATTTGACGAGGATGCGGTCTCTAAGAGCTCACTCGAGCGTATAGTCAAACAGAGCGGACGAATTCCCCATGTTAGTAACGAGCACATTCAAACGCTTGCAACAAGCGCACTGACGCAAAAATGAATCCAATCAATAACGGCATTGATTAAAAATGCGAAAAGAGTGAAATGTTTCCGTCCCATGATGCCACTTGCGCGCACAAAGCGTATTAATTGCGCGAAGATTTTTACATGTTGCGACAAAAAAAAGTACTTAAATAAGAGAGAGATTGAAGAATAAGTGTGTAATAATTAAAATTACTTTTCACACAAATATATTCAGTGATTTCGAAAAGAAATAAACTCTGCAATTTACTCATCGATATTGTCTCTCGGAACTGGTTACGTTTTGCAGTTTTGCAACGAAGAATAATAAAATTTCAACGTTGGCAAAGTCGTGTGTGTAAACTGCGATTATGAAAAAATAGATGAAATTAAATAAAAATGTTTATAAGAGAGCTTAAAAATGATTTATTGCCGCGATATTGCGTTAGGTGTGTGCAAGTAATGTTTTTCAATAATATCGCGGTGTATTCAAATGATATACCAAGCGATACGGGACGCGACACTGGGAGTAGAATACAATCTGTCCAAGTAACCGCGACGAGACCTAACCCAATATGATGCGCGTTTGTTACAAGAAGCGAGGGTACTTGGAATACCATTAGCTTCCTCGTAACAATGGAGATAGCAGGCCGTGTCCCCGTCGCGGTGCATTCGCCAGTCACGTCGAATAACTGCTCCTCCGATTTCGAGCGACGCGGCAACGCGCGCGGGCGCGCACGCTTGAAATCCGAGTTTGCTTTACGTCTTGTTGATGTCTTAAAGCTCTCATTAGTGTAGCTCGTCGCCTTCGACGAGCCAAACGATGGGCCGGGAGAGAATTAGCGATGTCAATATTTGCGATGCAATCAACCCGCTTCGACTTGCCCGCTCCTCGTCGTCGATTCGCCGCGCCCGCCCTCGCTTCCGACACCGGCGCTGATTGTCATCCACACTTCCATGACCAGGTTGCTGTGTTGTTGCTGTTGTCTTTTCTCATTTCGCCGGCTCGTTCACCTGATCTGTACACAGCATCGCTGATAGCTACCGGCGCCGACGTTCGGTATCCATTTTAAGCAGAATCCACAGTAGTGCGAGCCAAATTCCGAGCCCGCCTTTGTCGAACAGTTACGTACCATCAAGCAGTTCAACTTTTGTGAGCAGCTTCCCATCGGAGAACAATGTCTTATAAGTAGCAATACTGCCATAAAAAATAATGTAAATAATGATATTGCGGTAGAGCAGAGATATTGCATAAAGTACTTATCGCAATTATATATATATAGGTTTTGGTCAACGTAGATTTGAAGGAAAAGTTTATCTATGAGGGACGCAATTTTGCGTAAGCGTTTATTTCGTTTCCATATTTTCATTGTTTTCTACTTATTAAGTAGCGTAATAATAGCTTCTTTGAAGAGACGAGNAANTTTTTTTTTTTTTTTTTTTTTTTCACGGACGCATCCTTTAATTTAACGTACTACAACGATGTGTGACAAAACGGCCAACCGGTGGTAAAACTCGCGCACCGACCATTCGTACTTCTTACATTTGACAAGTCTCTGGCAATTTGTCGGCGTTAAGAATGATCAAGCGTCTCGAAGCGGATTGCGATGGCTGGGACGGCCAGCGGTGGTGAATCGTGACGGCGAAGCGTTCGCGACGCGAGGAGGAAGAAGACGGGCAGAGAGAAATGTCGAAATTAAAGTTTTCGCAAGTTATTCGAACGCTACCTGCGGCTCGCGCGCCGTATGAATCGAATGTCATTTGTTGGACTTAAACGAGTGGGCGGTGGAAAGATATAAAGGAGGAGAACGGTTGGGGTTGGATGAAAGGGAGGAAGGAGGAGGTTATATACGCAAACCCTTTCCCAGAAGGAACAGCCGGAACGTCGAATGGAAGAAGGACCACATTGGCGAAAAAGCGCGCGTCAGCGTCGCAAATTGAAAGTCCGCATCCAGGGACCTACTATTTTCTCGTTCCGCTCGTATAAATCTCTGTTCGAGGTCAAGACGCGTCGAAGGAAAAAAAAAATCAAGTACGCTATCGCTTCGGGAATGAATTGCAATTGTTATCCACATGCAGCGTCGACGGACGCATTTGCATGAATTTTATCTGTATTTTAGAAAAGTCTTTTTTTTTTTTTTTTTATTTTTTATTTCTACGTACTTTTCTTGAAGATTCGTAATTTCCGTGGAATTGTTTGCTTGATTGCACGTGAAATAATTGCGTCGCGCGATTTTTCGTAATTGCTTTTAAGGATAATGGCTGAGAATAATAGTCGAGATTTCACGATCAGAGGTAAATAATACAGAAGGTCCTGTGACTGTCGCGCGATCTTTGCTCCGAACTAGTCCTATTCGCCGCGACAGTATTTTCCCTCAGGCTCTCGCTTCCCTCTTCGCTTTACCTCCGATTTCCAGTCCCATCTCTGACTCTCTTCTCTCTTTGCTTTTTCTCTCTCTCTCTCTCTCTCTCTCTCTCTCTCTCTCTTTTCCCCTTCTCTATCGCCTCTCTTGCTCTCTCTTTCTTCCTTTCACCCTCACCTAGTGGCGTGACACATGGCCAGCATTTATAGCGCGAGATAGCGCCGGCGGTTCTCGACAGTACCGGCAGATTTATCCTCCACGGTTATTGGAGTTATACAAAGGATTTTTCCAACTGATCCCATAAAGTATCTGTGCCTGATGCCCTATTATTTACGCAGCCCGGCAGCGGCTGATGCCGCGAAAGCGTGCGCTTTTCGCCCTTCCTAGTTTTTTACGTCGGAATGCGAGCGTCGTCATGAGCTTGTCGCTTGATGCTATTTTACGCTTCGTCGATTTACCGCGAATCGGTATCTCAGCGATATCACATTGAGTGAATTATTGTTGTAGATGAACGTCGGACGATCAACGATGTATTGGGTTACGTGAGATTTTCTTTCAAAAAGAAAAATTTTTGTTAGATTCAAGCGGAGAACGACGTAATTCTTTTATGATGTTCAAAGTGAGACAAATGTTAGAGAGAAAGAGAGAGAGAAAAAAAGCAAAAAAAACAATTTTTTTTTTCAGATGTTTGTTAAGTAATCTTTATGGGACCTAGTTCTCGGAAATTTGTGTCACGCGGTTTAGATGCGCAAATACTTGTATCGTTCGTGAATTGCACACGTTACACTGATCTATCGTTGTAGAGTTTATTTCTACGCTCGCTTGTTCGTTCGTTCGTTCGTGCGTTCGTTCGTTCGTTCGTTCGTTCGTTCATCTATTTGTTTGTTAGCGACCGACGAGTTCGTACTACGTTGTTCGGCATTAATGGATGGCCCCTGTTTCCGTACGTTTTATCGTCAACTGAAGCTCATAGGTATCGTCCGAATGGTAACCATCGGGGCCAAAACCGACCGAAGCATTGATCCACTTCTGTGGAATTTAGGTGAATGGAGTATGAATCTTCTCACTATGTACATGTGTGTCTGCATTATTTCAAGTTAAAAAAGATTTACAGAAGAAATTATAGAAGAAATTAAACCGATTAAATGAGAAAAGAAAGAAAACAATAAATCAACCAGACTATTTAGAAAATTACGTGTCGTCTTGCGTGATCATTTAATTAAATTCTTAGTTAAAATTATAATTCTGAAATATTTCGTCGTTGAAATATCTTGAAAAATTTTAGCGCATATTTTAGTCCTGTACGTTTTTTTCTGTACATTTTAATTACAAACAACAACGGAATAATTTACGACGTATATATATATATATATATATTATGTATATATATACATACATGTACATATATATATGTGTACATATATATACATACATATACATATATATATATATATATATATATATATATATACATATATATATAAGGCAAGAAAATATTTTCTTGCTTGCAGGATTCCGAAGGTGACACGCCCCTTCACGACGCGATCTCTAAGAAACGGGATGACATGTTGGCTCTGTTGTTGGACCACGCCGCAGACATCACCCTTACCAACAACAATGGCTTCAACGCTCTGCACCACGCTGCTCTTCGTGGCAACCCAAGGTGAGTGCTTCGCGTTTTCAGATGTGACGCTTTTGTCCGCGACGCTGAATGCGCCGTCGTTCTAGAATTTAACCGTCAGCGAGAGCTGCAGAGAAAGCTGCAGCGATGCGAGAAAGAGAGAGAGAGAGAAAGAGAGACACCAATAAACATCTCGCAGCGGATAACAATTAAGCACATCTCGCTTCTTGTAACTAATGGATCACTACATGTCCAGGTTGTATTTTGAGAATCTCGCATAATCGCGAGAATATCGCATTAATATCGAGTATATATTTAACCGCTATCATTGCAATCACGCTTAAATTTGTCTTTTTTGTTCTTTACATTTGCGCAAAATTGTACGATCGAAATTCTAATTGACAGAGGGAAAGAGAGATACTGTTCTATTTTTTTCAGAAGCACAAGCATTTAAGCTTAAACGTCGCTCGTGAACAATCGGTTTTCCGGTACGGGGCTTTTTTCCGCGAAAAGTTACGAGTGGGAAAAATATTCCAACGGCATGTCCAATCGGCCCGTTCTTCCTTCCGCTTTCTTTGTTCTCTTGTTCGACGAATCATAAAAGAACGTCGAACCGCAGATGTTCCTGAAGCCATCATTGTCGTCGACGTTCCCATCGTCTCGACGAAGTCTAATCGACCCGGTCATTCTCGAGAGGTAGCGAGTCAATTTTACCTCGATTCTCACCTCTCGTCCTTCCCGTTCAATTTAGCCACGCGTACTCTCGGAGAGCCTTTCGAGATTTGCCCACTTCTAGTTATTACTTCAAGGCAAAGACGGAGGTAACGAGAACGAGACGAGCGGATATTCTGATGGGAGAAGAGAGGCGATATCTAGTTCAAGCTCTAGACTATACATGACTTTGACTGAAATAACGTTATTTCGTAACAGCGCTCGCAATTGTCTACTTTATCCGGAATGTTTTCCTTCACGAGAAATTCCAGATAAAACTACATTTTTAGTTTACGCGATGTTTATGTTTTTCAGAAATATGCGCGCACCTCTTTAGACGAGTTTATTTTTTTGTTTTTGTTTTTGTTTTCTGTTACTCAGCTTAGCTCCTTTTGTGTGTACAAATGCAGATTTTAATGAATTCTGATGATTTCTATGCGACTACATTTTCCGTACTTTTTTTTTTCTAATTTTTTTTTCTCACAGGTTTTTGTTCGTTCTTTCGCTCTTTCTGTGTTTCTCTTCTTCTGATTTCTCCTGTTTGCACGAGAGAGATTCTCTTCAACGTTTCGCGCCTGTTTCCGGATCTAGAAAATGGTGGCGCCGGATGCATATACGTAGTTCTACAATCACGGTTACGAGGTGCATACCTACTTTCAATTTTTCAGCCGAGTCATGTATGTGTGTGCGTGTGTGAGAGAGAGAGTAAGCGACTCGCAGTCGTTTTTGCTCTGTGACGATGTTATCGCTGAAATAACAGGAAAATTTTCAACGAAAAAAGATAACGATATCACGATTCGCAAATCGCTTCTCTAGACTTTCTTAACCCTTACAGCAGTGTCGTGAAATGGAATTAGATTAGACATGTGTATATATATATATATATATATGAAACAGTAAAGAGTCTGAAATCTTCCGGCGCCAAGAAAATTAATCAGCGAGCAAGAACTCGGTGAGAATCGGAAGAGAAATTAACCGGTTGCTACTTTCTCGAATATTAAATAACACTACAATCTTAATTGTTGATTAAAATACGAAGGTTGTAACCTTCTGTCATCTCACGTTATATTTTCATTTATAAAGGAATTTTCTTTGGAACACTCGATTGCTCGGTAAATCCTCGTTTCCAGTCATATTGTTTTAATTGGTAACAGAGAGAAGAGCAAAGATATTGCGGAACAAATTTCTCTGATAAATCACTTCGCATTCCGCGCTTCCATTACGGCCGTTTTTGTGTGTACATAAAACATACGTATCTGTGTAGACAAACGTTTCCGTTCTATTGCTGTTAGTTGGGAAACAATGATCAAATGAGGTCACCCGGAGATTCTCGTTTCGACGACCGATCGATAGATTGGAACATATCGTGTCGATCGAATGTACAAGAGAGGGCGGTTCAATTTACCGCCCGACACATTATAATCCGACGTACGCGGTATGAGGAATTAGCGAGAACTCGATATCGTTATATATCTGATCCCGGGCGCGGGATCTCTCGTAAGCAAACGATAAGGGTGATCGTCCGAAGCACGATCGACGTCAAGATATGTCAACCTTAGCCGGTAGCCTCGTTTCGTTCTCCCTCAACGGCCGGGAAGGTAATTATAGCGACGATCTAACGCAGGAAAGACGCTCGAGGGTGACTCGAAAACTAATTCAGACTAGGATAGTTTGCGGTTAAGTGAAGCACTCGAAACCGATGAGGTTTACTTTGCCTGTCATTATATAGACCGAAGAGCGAACGGGATTTCGCGCGCGGGGTCTTCAACTAGGCACTGCAATCACAGAAACGTATTAACGCCCGAAATAGGTAGAACGTACTTGTGTGTGTGTATGTGTAAGGGGAGAAGCGCACCGTACAATCAAGGATCGTTTGCTCTTCGTGAAGAAGCAGCGATTTCTGCTTGAGCTGAGCGAGATAAACGTTACAAACGCGGGCGCGCTCGATACGGAGCTGCGCGATACGGGTCAGCGAGGTAAGGATAGCGTTTCGTACGTGATTGCTCGGCCCGAATGCGAGTTTAAAGCGTCAGCGAATACGTGTCCGTGCTCGTTACACCGGTTGCATTTCCAAAGTACACTTGGATAAAGACGAATGTCGGGTGTGCTTCTTCACGTCTCGGCGTCCTTTTTTCTTCCGTCTTGCCGCTTGGTCATGAACGGTCCATGGCCTTTCTTATAACTCTATCTCTCTCTCTTTCTCTTTTTTTGCCTCTTCCGACTCTGCTCGTGCCCCGGTTCGGCCTTTCGTCGGGTTTGCGCTCGCCTTCTGAAGGAACCGCCAGGTCTCTCTCAAGACCTGTGCCGCGGTGCTCTGGAGCCGAACGAACGGACGTCCGGAGACGTAATTTCCTGCTCTCCTGGTGCGGCCTGCCGACCCTTTCTCTCCTCGTTCCCTTCCTTTGCTCTATTCCTCGTTCGCGTCTGCCGCTTTGTACGGTACATTCTCCCGGGGTTGTCGACGAAACTTCCCTCGTTTTCCATACCTCTGCCTACGTTTCTGTGCGATCTCGAATTAGAGTCGACCGGCCGAACGTGGTTGCAAACACTTGCGCGAAGACACGCGCGTCAAAGAAAACAATTGCAGAGTCTCGAATTTGCCGCAATTAATTAATTAACGTTGATTAAATGACAATCCTAGCAATGTGACAAGAATACATGTATGTACAAAACACAGTTTTTTTACTTAAAAAAAAATTTTTTTTTTTTTTTTTTTACTTATTCTCTGCATTTGAAATTTTTTTAAAATTTTACACGCACGCAATCTGAATTAATTTATAGTTCAATTACTTATTCAAAATATGTGGCTTAATTCTCTTTATCGCTACATTGTTAATATCGTTTGCGCGTATCTATTATTACTAAATCCATTGTATCTCTGTTAAACGTGTGCAAGGGATTATCGCCACAACATAATAAATTTTCACTCAGCTCTGCGGCGAGCACGGCGGCGTAAAGCGATCGCGTAATAAATAGTGCATCAGCGTTACATCATCGGCGATGAGTATTCTATGAGCTATAATATTTTTTTACGGCTATACTCTGCGATACTGCGATACCGGATTGCAATCAATAATGCTTTATCGTTGGAAGAGAGTGGAAATACGGTCAAAGCGTCGGTCAATACGCGGGCGTTACAGTGGAAGGGCAATTAAAATCGGCCGCTTATGGTATCCCTTTGTTAGTGCCGGCTCGCAATAGGTTGTTATTCAACCGTGATAGTCTAATCATTATGCTCGCCGGCAGAGATACAAATACTCGCGCGAATCATATACTAAATTCTACCGCATGAATCGGAACCAAATCCGTGGGCGTTAAATACTGCGGTACCATCTGCGTGTCGACAACTGATTGACGTAAATCACAAAATCGATGGTTTAAATTGTCATCCTTTGTAACGTCCATCATTACAAAATAACGATGTAACCGGCGCATTACGTAACAAATTTGTACTGCAAAAATATACACACGTGTGTGTATGTAATGCGATACTCGTCAGAAACGTTCTAGTTTTTTGTTTTTTTTTTGTTTTTTTTAGTAGAAAAAAAAAACAGTTTTATTGGTTTACATGTTTGGTGGGTAATTTTATTAGAGCGTTATTTTCACGATTGTTAATTTTGCGCAGCGAGACTTTGTAGCTCACGTTTGTTGAACGTTACCCTTTGCATTTTTCCACGACCGAGACCGTACGACTGTTAACCACGAAGTTATAATACTAATTCGAGTTCGCTCTGATGTCTCGTACGGCTTGATTATGTTAGTCACACACGCCGCGCTCCGTACTAACGCTGATCTAGCCAACGTACACATCGTCGTACGCCCGCCCGTGAGCCGCTTTGATCTTCCCTCGTGGAGCCGCACTCTGATTGTGACACGCCGAGTCAGAACAACCGCGCAAGAGATCCCCGCTCCGGCGGTCAATTCCGTTTGTTTTGTTCTGTTTCGTTGGGACGACGGTCACGTATGTACCTGCCGAAGAGCTTTGCCGCAACGAGAGTGCAGCGGCGGCTCGTGATTAAAATTTTGTTAGCCTGGCGACTGATTTCCGGGGCAGCTTTGTGCATCAACGTGCAATCTCTCTGTTCGTCTGGATATAATCACCAATCGGCTCATCTTAGGCCTTCAGACCAGTCAATTGTTGTTTATTTAAGACCGATCTCTCTGTGTACGCAGATGTACTTAACTGTCGAGAGAGTTTCTGTGATATTTTCCGCCAATCTCGTCCGCGCGTTTCGTTTAAACTGTCATCGCCGCCTCTTCTCTCTCTCTCTCTCTCTCTTCTCACATCTCCGAGGAGATGAAACGCGGAAAAATTCATTCCACGGACTTTC